TGATGTGTTAAAAATAATACGGCTGTAATTTCTTATACTTTAAAGAAATTACTGTTGTGCTGTTATTCTATAATTATCTTAATTAGAAAATTCAAGAAGAAGAAACTGTAAAAATTCATGCTGTTCTAAACAAGTATTTAAATAGCTTCAATTACCGTAAAACTTATCGTTAAATAGAAAGTTTTGATTAAAGCTTGACTTTTCTAATATAATGATCGTATGGAATCTAATAGTAATAATATAAAAATCATTCGACTATAATTATGTGCGATGTAAATGTTCTTCTTCCTAGAGTATATAGAACCTCATTATTGTCTTTTATTAGTCTCTGCGTCTTTTAAAGAAATTTGTAGTCAATTATGAACATAGACAAGAGAGGCTCCTCTAGATGGAAATGGTTAACGCGTAAAAATCGCAAAAATGTGGGTGGAGGAACAAAGGATTTCTTAATTAATGAGGGTTTGCTCGCTAATAACGACGCTATTATTACGATACCATGATTCATTAACATTTATCGGTAAAGCAGCTGTTGTCTCGCCCGGCTTGTTCGATGACTATCGTTTAATTGGGGTCAGCCGATTAACTTGCGTTTAACTTGGAATATACGTAGCCGGCAAAAAGAGGGTCACCCGCTTCATCATCGCGTCGATCATCGTCGATCATCGTCATCGCGATCATTAGTAGGTCGGCGATACGCCGCGCCTCACATCGCAATGCTTAGAATACAATTGAATAAAGTTATTTGGAAAACGGACAGCTAATCAAGTAGAATCCATTTTTGGCCTCTATGAATACTTTAATAGAAAAATATTCAGTAACAATGGGCAATTTTGCAGTTAATTAAAAATGATTTGCTAACAATCAGAATTTTTTCACCTGTTGGAATTTCAATTTCTAATATAAGGCAAGATCATCTCGTATAAGATAAGATTAGACAATTATAATTAAAATAAAAAGTTTTTTTCTTTAAGATACTTAAGTAATGCAAAGTTTGCGAATATTGAAGATGAAAAAGAAATTTTTTATTTTTCTCAGAGTCCTAATGATGTTTTTATTCATCACATAAGTATCTCTATATTTTTGCACTGTCAATCTTATAATGATGTTAACATTATAAATTAAAATAGCTATGCACATACCCGCTATATGATATGTTAATTGATTCGAAATCATGAGGGCAGGAACGCGCGGGATGTCATTACGACAGATCGGCACATAGCAATGACGGTGGATAGCGATGCGGCATGATCGTTACATCGGACGCTGTGAAAGCGTATTCGATACGAGAGCGATGATTGAAGAAACCGCGAGCGTTTACAAATTCAAATTATCATGATGAATGACGGCGGCGCGATGATGGGACGAACGACGAACGAACGTAATGACAAACACGCTGTTCGATAGTAATTTTCTGTGACGTTTCGCGGGTGGAATCCTCGTGCGACCGTAATAATCGATAATTGATCGAAGAGATTGGTACTATACCTCGGGCAAAACGTTTCCGAGTCCCCCATCAGCGATCCCGCTTTCGTCTCTCTTCTCGTCTCATCAAACATCAATTATGTAAATGTAACGGGAGGGACTATCGCATCGAACAGATCGGCGGGATTAGAGCGGAGTTTGCGCGAATCGCGGAATAAATCGTTTCAATTATTTCCAGCGGTCGTACAATCGACCTTCAAGGACGGGGCCGATCAGAAAATTGGATCTTCCAATCCTGTGATCCTGAGATACGCCATTAATAATTCTCTTCTCTCCTCTCACCCTTCCTTCCGCCGATCGTACCCCGCGAAAGTCCATTTCACTTTCGAATCCGGCAGGCCGGACTCGCGAATGATTCGGGAATCCGATTACGAGCAAGAGAGTGGCTGATTTACGCCGGTGTAATTAAACGAATTAGCCACACGGCCAAGCTGGCGAAATAAGAGCGGTCGCGAGAGGAACACGTCGGGAATGTTACCGGGGCGATTTCGCGGGATAAACGGCTCGTCTCAAAAGTCACGCACGTTGCGCCCGCGTGCGTGCATACGTGCGTGTGCAACGTGCCGAGAGATACGATCTGTTTTTAATTTTCTCGGTCGCGTTAAAGTTTGATCTCGAGTACAACGCTGTCCGTCTCTAGCGATTTATCCACGAGGAATGTTTCAATTCCCGTAAGAATGCGTGAAATAAATGGGAGACAACAATCCACCTATTGGGATAACTCCGGGCTCTGATACGACTCCTTCATTTACGTGATTCGCCGTTGATTCGCCGCCGACCGTGGGTCTTATCCCGAAAGCAATTACGCCGGGGTTACCCTGCCAAAGGGAGACTCTGCGGCGTCTCCCTTTCCATTACTTTTTAACCTCGCGAACGCGGCAGTCGGCTATCTCGGATTCAATTCAACGCGCGGCGAGCAGGGCGGAGGCGTATAATGTCTCGGTTTTACTCGCGCGAGCCTTCGTTCGTCTACGTAGACCGAAGACGGGTAAGAGCAGGCTTTGTTTCGAAAGCGATCGGTCTTCCGCCGGGTCTCCCACGACCGCGCCGTCCACGATTCATGACAGAACAAATTACAGATCGGCAGAAAAAGACCATCGGCGGTTCATTCGCGGCTATCCCGAGACGCGCGCGCGATACAGAGTCGTGAGTCGCAAATTAATGGCGGCCATAATTTCGGCCGATAGTCGGCCCGATGATGATGTATCGATGCTAAATGCAACGGCCGAGTCGCCGCGCCGCCGATTATTCACGGAATGTTAGCCCGATCTCTTAATCGCCGCAAGGACGCCGAGGGTCACTTTAAAAAGCATCGTCTAAATCTGACAGAGATACGATGTATCGCACGAAATAATAATATAATATAATTAAAAAACATGATTTCTCGATATTCAATTGTCCCCTATGCACACAATGACGTTGAAGAAATCACGCAGACTTAATTACAGACTAATTAAGTAAATAATAAGTACCGAAAATTGCTCTAAATCGTTCAAAAAAAATTTTAGTTCTATCTTCACTTTTGAGGGACGAGCTTTTCGTGGCAATCAAAGTAACAAGAAATAGCTCACGATGTTCATTTAAGCATTCCAATTGTTTATCCCGAATTTTTGAGCTTCTATTATTAATTTATATCGAATTTACGGCCTCTTCCACGAACGTGAATATATCTTTTGCGGAGATCGTAATTCTCTCTCGGGAGAGAACTTAGATGGGCGCGCATGTAAAGAAGAACGAAAGAACCACGGAAAATCGCGAGATTATGACTCGAGTCGGACGGAAATACAGCGTGCGACTGCTTTCGACTGACTTATTTCGACCCGTTAGCCTAATTTCTCATTCCCGCGTCAAGGACAACCAGAACGACTTCTGTTCTGTCCTGCAGTCACACCGCATCGGAACCGGGGGTAGAGACGCCGTGTCCACCGTGTCCACCGCACGCGTATACCGGTTATTATCTTTTCGCATTTTTCGGCCGAGATTATTCTCGAAACGAATGACCCTCTTAAGCCTCCAGACCGGATCATTAATTTGAGTTCGAGAATAGCCGGGCGGGGAGTAATGCCGCGACCGCGCAGAGGTGCGCCTACAAAGACCTTAGTACGGCCCCGCGTGTGCCATCTCCGCAATCGCGGTCCTCTCTCACGAGAGTGATTTAAATAAAGGGTAAAGGACACTTCAAGGCTGACGGCAATTCTGTTCAATTTATGCGCGCGGATCCGATATATAACCCCTTTCGCTTTTTTTTTCCATTTTACGCGCCGAGCCGTCGAGTATATAAGAACGAGATAAACTTACGCATTAATCAAAAGTGGAAACAGCTCCTCGAGACGCTGTACCGGCTGATTCAAACGCCAAGTCAGTTGAAACAAAATGCACATAACTATCGCGCTCATTTTTAAGCCGCGAATTATTTAACGCGCGCGAAAGAAAATTAATAAAATATAATTTTGCGATGTCAAAAAAAAATTATCAAAATCTTATTTTAAAAAATCGCATTTTGTTTAAAGTATTCGCGATCGAGAGATTATTAGCGTTAATCCAAATACACTTTTTAGACGCTTCGCGCGCATCGTCATCGTTCCTGAAGAACAGTAATGAATTCTATTCTGGCCGTTCGTTCGCGTACGTAAATCAATTCTGACGGCTCGAAAGAGTTTCCGCGTATGCATCGACACCAGGAAGCGGAAACTCGAGATGTAACGGTATCGATGGGAGGGGAGGGTCATTTATAGCAACATTCTGTGTATTCGAGCGACGGTGCAACGCCTGACGTTGCCAACGCTATATCGGTGGATAGTTAGATAGGTAGACCGATGCCAACTAATGCATGCTCGGCAGGCCACCGAGAGTACAATTGACTTCATCTCCCGGCATACTGCCTGTTTGTGCGCGTTGCCTCCGAGAAAAAACCGTTTCTCGCATTTCACCGTTTAGGATAATGTTCAAACTCCTCTGATAGTGAACGATATATACTCGAAGCACGCGACTCGCGTCCGTCATATTTTCGTATTGCCGCTTCATTATTCATGATATTGGATGATTACTGCTCGATCCTTTTTCTCTTTTCGTCTCCAGCAATGTATTCTTATCAATGAAGATAATTAATCTGTTATGTAAAACGTGACACAAATTGATTACTCGGCATTTCGCGAAAAATGTTGTATTTAATTATTAGTTATTAATATTTCAAATTTTAATATTAATTAAAAATATTATTTATTATTTAAGAAAACAGAAAGTTACGATTAAAATGTTTTTTTGGTGTCAAAACTATTGCGAGAAAATAGAAGACTTATATAGAAAAACACAGTTTAAAAAATATCTCTATCGTAAATTGCATTTCATACTAATAGTAACAGAAGAGGAAATGGGAATCCGTATCGTTGCGATAAATGGATTTATCGGTGGCAAAGCGGCTTTTTTACGCGCAATGGAAATATAGATAGTGCGTTAAAGGGATTTGATTCGACAAATTCGCTTCAAGTATCAAATTACAGATTAATAATCTCACTCACGTGTTCGTCCACCGAATATGTTAGCTCCCCGTCGTCGTAGAGAACGAACCATCTCCTCTGCCATCTCTGTAACATAGAAATCGTATCGATTTTTAGAAAATATTTTAAATTACGGCTTTGACGCTATAAATTATCACAAAAACATTTATATATAGATGATGTTTATTCTATCATAAATAATAAATTTTACGAAACAACAATAATTAAATACTTATAAATTATTCGTTTGTCACTTTTATCATTAAGATAAAATAACAAAATTTTTTTTATCAGTTTACTAGATTAAGTAGTGATAAGCGCGGATGAGGAAAGCATGGATAAAACTTTCCACTTCGTAATTTTCACAGAAATGTATTCTCCTATGCCGAGAGAAAACAATTTCGCGCGACTCAAGGTTGAACCTGTTCAATTCGCCTTAAAGAATCTCTCTAAGGCCTCCCGCTCTACGTCAGCTGGACAATTAGCACGCGGCAGCCGTTAATTAGAAACAAAGTCGGCGAAAAGGAACAAGAAAGAAGAAGCGCAGGCAGCGGGTGCAGCAGCCAGCAGCGGATCGTCACGATTTCTCTTTCGTTGCCACCTGCGAGCGATGTTGCGAAAAACTTATCTGAACCGCTTCGGACATCTTTCGCGCGTTTACTAAAGAAATACGCGCCAGTGCGGCTCTTTCGCACTTTCGCGTTCAATCCAACACGCGACTTGGAAAAGTGCTTATCTTAAAAAAATTTATCATAAAAAAAGATTTTTCCTTTCAATAATAAAAGTAATTTTTCTAATTTTCTACGAGCGCGCGGAGCGTGAACTCTCGTGATGTTGTATCCCGCGTATTATTTTCATATAAATTTCTCGCAGTTAATAAAAAAGGCGCTTTCACACAAGTGTATATCACGCAGGTGATATATCTCGAGATTTGCTACGCACTGTGGTAACAACCGCGAATTTGATGGACGCAGATTGAAAGAATCCTCTCGATGTGTACAAGATATGCGTGCGAGCGCGCGCGGCGTACGAGAGCTTTACGCTCTACGATTGTATGCAAATGCACACAAAGTGTAAAGTTTGTGTCCGACCGCAGGCACAGTTATATGCAGTTATGCGATACCTTCGGCCATATCGCTTAACCTCCTTGTCTACCGCAGCGGTGGGCGCGATGTCCCGCGGGCGAACGTGCGTTGACACAGAAATCGTGAAACGCTATTCCAATCAAACTCTTGTAAGCAGAAAAATATACGACAAGATTTATTTAAATAAATATTATAAATCGTGGGAAATTAAATTAATAAACGCTAATAAAAGAATTAATAAATACGTTTCTTTCGATATTTACTCGAAAAATACTTTTGACGTAATAAAGGACGTAAAAAGACGTAAAATTAAATTTCTTTTGGGAATTTTAAGAAAGAATTCTCTTAAAGTTATTAACTTCATCGAGAAAAATTTCCTTCGCGATGTGCAAATCTTTTAAATTTTTAGTTAGTATTAATGCTGCTCTTTCTATATAAAAAAAAAATATAATAAAATGAAAATATACATCTTTTATAAATATTTTATAAAATTTGTAGGATTATTCTTGTTTTCTTTCGCAAAATACTTTTTGCTATAATGTGTTCTTCTATTGAATTTCTTTAAATAGTATCATTCATATGCGAAAGACGGAAAAGAACCTAACATCACATACTTTTGAAAGATGTAATTGTAATAGAAACATCAGTGCCGTTCATATATAGCTACGACATGACAGGAAATGCATTAAAATGCGCTATTTAAATAATACGAATGCGGGTTTGCGGTCGAAAGAGCCAATTTCTATACCGCGGCGCGACGCGGTCGGGTCGAATCCCGCATTGTACTGCTTTTATCCGCAAAGGGACATTGTATGTCATCGTCCCGTCGTAGAAATATGGTATGGGGAAAGAGGGGAAAGAATGAGGAATAGGCGCATAGGATACCGTTGTAAAATCGCTAGGGACGAGATGACCGAGGTGAACAGATTTCAACCTACACAAGGCGGCGGTATCTTCATCTGGTAATTATTCACTAGGGACTTAGCGAGAAAGAGAAAGAGAGAGAAAAAGATAAAGATTCGTGCCGTATGTGGTCTCCGACACGTGCGTGGGAAGATCTCTCACGGAGAAAGAGAAGGAAGAAGAAGAAGAAGAAGAAGAAGAAGAAGAAGAAGAAGCGAGGTTCGATGCCTGACCGAACAATAAGCGAGAGGATTGAGATCATACGAGAGAAAGAGAGAAAGCAAGGAACTCTTCTCGTTGGTACACGTAATCTCTTCCTCATGTAACGCGTATTGTAAGAGCCAATGAATATTTTGAAACATGTCGATGGACTTGGAAAGCCTCTTGACTTTGAGACTCGATTATAAAAGCGATATTTTCTCATTTTATTCTCGTGGAATTTCAGAATTAAATACTGTCGTCATCAATTCAGAGAAACAGCATTGCATGCAATTTTTTAGTTTGTGTGAATAGAAGATTATTCATTATAATATAAAGATTATTAAATATTATACAAAGCATGTATAATAAATTTTATCACTGTGTCATCATATTTTCAAAGATATTATCATCGTAAACGCAAATAGATCTCGTCTTGCTCTATAATCATCAAAGGACTTTAAGATCTTTGTAGAGCTCATTAAGGATCAAACATTCTTTAGAGTGCATGTCGTAATTTCGCATATTTGAAGGACTCGCGTAATCCTGACCTACCGCATCTTTCTGGTTTATAGGCGGCCGTTAATACCGCCTACGGACTCCGGCCTTTCTGGTTCGACCAGTTTCGAACATCCGGAGCAGTCATCGAAATTCCTAAAGTCGAACAACATGACTAATATTGTATATTGTAAATATATCATTGCAAAATCTATATACAAGATAATTTTTTGAATAATTTTCCCTAAAAATTTTTTAAATTGTGGGAGGATCATATGTATCGATGAAAAAAATAATTAATTAAAAATCGACTGTTTTATATGATTGCTTTGCCTATTCTGCTGCAAGACGTATATTTTCTTGTATAAAGAATCTGCAAAATTAAATATAAAACCTGTAAAGAACACAGTAGTATCCTGGGTCACTTGTTTCCATGAATTACTTAAGTAACTCGCGACATAATCACTTTTTATTATATTTTGTACGCTGAAAAACACATGCGAATTGTTTAAATAAAGGTTTATTTGTTTCTATCAGCTTAATATTTGTGTATAGAGAGCGAGGGAGATAAAAATGATAAGAAATTCAAAATATTAAAGTGTTTTTCTGGAATATATAAATCCATGTTTTTAAAGAATTTACGACAAATATAAATTATTACAAGTATAAAAAATGCACATTTTGCAATTATCATAAGATCAATGTTTTCTGACGTATTCTGATTTTATCGCGAGCGCGCGCGTTATTATGACGAGTTGCATCTTCACTCTCGCACGCGTTAATCCTTAGATCAGAGGCGCAACTCGCGTAACATAATTAGCCGTGTAAAGTCATTACGTCCCTATTATGTTTTTTAATTGTACTCGCGTCAAGGAAGGAGGAAAAATTCCAAAGGAAGTATACGTCGTGTACGAATAGAGGCATATGTCAAGTACCTCGAAACTATCTTCTACTAATTGCAAGTAGAGATGATGACGATTTTTCTACTCCTCTCTTTTGATTTACGATTTATCCTATACATGAATTTGAAAGAACGCAGCGAGGTATTCGTTGCAATCTTCGTAACTCGGTGTACCGAATGTCTCGATTTTCTCTTACGACTTCCCGATCATCCATCGATCGGGCTTGGTATCCTCGTCATCGGCTCGCTATTTGTGTTTCCCCTCACGATCCTACTGGCGTGGCCGTTAACGTGCTAGCTAGCATGCTACCTATGCGAATACCGTCGTTACCGTGGTTGCCGAAGGCCCTACCGACCACCGATCTCCGACCACAACGGTAACGTGACCTGACGCTATTCCCTCGGCGATCCTCCATCGACAGAATCCCGATTCTGCCGATCCTATTTCCCGCGACCCCGCCCGCTCTCCGAATGCCGCGGTCGGCGGAAAGAAATATAGCGGATCCTTCCTAAGGATTCGCGGTACCCCCTTGGTACCGTGCCGAGTACAATGTCAACGTTCTTATATTTTCTAGCACGAATTGTAACGCAGAGAACGGTACCAGACAGTAACCAGATAGCTGTAAAAAAGCATCACGATAGCACAAATGTAGACTATTAGCAATATATATATACACTACTACAAGTATAAATTAAATTTATTATTACTCTTTGCGTTAAATATTGCTTTTATATGTAACTCCGCGAGATGTAATCTTATTGTTAGAAAAAATTAACAGTCCAGATTTCACGTTTTAAGCTTAATTATTAATCAGCATTTCATTGTACAAAATTTATTACGTCACGATTTCTCTTTATTTCTTCGGAGGAATTTATGAGCTGATAAAATGATCAAATACTTCACATTGCTCTTCAATGACTTCGCTTCGTGTCTTGCTCGGCAAAGTTGCAGTCGTACATTGCAGTCGTGGTACCCGGATTGTAAATTGTTCTCTTGTAACGTCGTTTAATCCTCCGCCATACGAAAAGAGACACGCTAGTAACGGCACGGCGATAGCATGAAAAGTCACGCTTGCAATAGCGTGACTAATACTTTTGCGCGAACATTCTAAGTTCGTTTTGTTGACACGAAATAAGCTCATATACCGCGTGTTGTCCACGGATAACATAGTTTCGAAAGTGACCGTAATCAATGGGAAATCATTTCCAATCATCATGTTGACATTTCATTGAACTTTCATCAATTTACTTTCCACAAATCATTAAGTGATCGATTATTACTCAAATTATTTGAGTAATAATAATATGCTTGTTTCGAATTTTTACATTACTTTTTCTCTATTTCTACGTGTTTTACTACGCATTTTAATAAAGCACAACTCTCTCGCGTAATCGATAGAAACTACAATTAGAGCACGATTATTAGTCGCTCGCGATTATATTGTCAACGAGCTTAACTAAACCCGCAATTATTAGCCTCATTATTGCGGTCGTGATACAAT